TGTGTTACAGCACAGTGGAGTCAAAACTGTAGAGCTGGTAGCTCTTGCTGAGGCCACAAAGCCTGCCAAGTTTCAAGAAGATCGGTGCAGGGGTTTGGGGGGAACTGCCCCTCAAGCTGCAGACAAGCAAAACTCGTGCCATGGGTGACACTGCGTGTGTTAAGGCGTAGCGGGGTGACAGCTGCAGGGATGGTGACCCCTGTTGCGGCCACGATAACAATCAACTGCCCCAAGACAGACACAGTCAGTTGCACAAGCACCCATGGCACGAGTTTTGTCTGTCAGCAGCTAGGGGTGCAGAGCTCCAGAACCCCCCTGCACTGATCTCCTCTACAGCTGGCAGGCATCGTGGCCTCAGAAGGGGCCACCATCCTGCAGCTGTCACCCCGCTGTGCCTGAACACACGCAGTCACCCATGGCACGAGTTTTGCTTGTCCACAGTTTGAGGTGCAGTTCCCCCAATTCCCTGCACCTATCTCCTTGAAACTTGGTAGGTTTTGTGACCTCAGTAAGAGCTACCAACCCTGCAGTTTTGACCCTGTTATGTTGTAACACATAGATGTGACAGGAGTTTTGCCTTCAAGAATTTGGGGTACAGTTCCTCCCAAACCCCTGCACCAATCTTCTTGAAACATGGCAGGCTTCATGCTCTCAGCAGAGGCTACCATCTCTGCAAGTTTCATTCAGATCAGACAAAAAACAACAGTTATAGATATTTAATTGATTCCCCATTATACCCCATGGCCGGATCTCCAAGGCAGCTCCGAAGCTTTGGCCGGATCAAGGCGGAAACCCAGTCCAGAGCTCTAGATTGGATCACGGCCATCTGAAGTGGCCAGATCTGAAGCTGGATCGGATCACTGCCGACTCGCACAGGCCTACTTGCCAAGTCCTCTAGCACTCACTGCTGCACCATCTCAGCAGGCATGGGGACATCAGACTGGTCCACTTCAGAAAAGCCCATGCTGTCAGCTCTATGTGCTTGTGCACCATACTGTCAGCTCTACATGCTGGCACTCCATACCATTTACAGACACCAAATGGTGGGACACCCATGTTGAGGGAGAAGAGCCACAGGAGACCAGCCTGTATTACACCTTAATGGTATTGCACCTTCCACTCCTGAATGGAGCCCTCAGCATGGATGTAAACCTGGCATGCTTTACTGATCCCTTTGACACCAGCAACCAGGGGTAGACCCTGGCGCACATCCTTGGAATGGGCTAGGCTGCAGCTCCCCCATCCATCTCCTCAAGAATTCTAATTGTGGTTCCGGTTGCACTTTTCCTCATACCTTTTATTTTATGCACAACCCATATGTGGCCCCAAATAGTATTGGGACCATCTGGTCAGCCTGGCCCTCCTGCCCCTGTCCAAACTGTCCATCTATCAAACCAGGAAGGAGCTGCTGGCAGGAGGCAGCCCAGGTAACTGTGGGGCTCTCTTCCTTTCTTTTGTGTATGTCTCCAAATGGGGTTTTGCTGGGCAGCATCACAAAGCTCTTTAGAAACATTCAAAGGTGGTAGCCAGACTCCTGTGCTGGTGTCCATCCTTGACACCCTAGCTGTTAACCTATAATCTGCATGTCTATTCTTGCACTCCCATTACTATTTTATTATTTTCCCCACTAAATTCGTTGTTCAAGTTCAGTGGCCTTTGTCTAACTCAGTGGATCTCAACATTTTCAGTCTCAAGGCATCCCTTCAACATTTTTTGGAATTTAGAGGCACCCCAGCCAAGAACCACTGAGCTGGAGTCAAGTTCGTGCCAGGTGAGGGTGAGGGGGCAGACTCTCCCCGCACTGTGCTTTTTCCACCATCTGTCCCCTCCCAGCCCCTGGTCTGTACCTGAAGGTCCAAGCACTGCTCCTCTGGGGACTCAAATGCTGGTGACCAGAGCTATGTGCACACATCGGCCCAGGAACATGGGAGGAAGGAAGGACAGGGAATGAGATGGACTGAACAGTACAACCTCACAGCCCCATAGCTGCCCATCTGCTTGCACTCATGCAGCAGCGCAAGCTGCTGGCAGCACAGGGGCCAGCGTGGGAGGTGCTGGGGGTTGGGGGGGCAGCCACAGGAATTGCTTGTCTGTGGAACGCTGGGGTACTTGGCACCAGGACAAAGGAAGAGCAATTTCTTACCTCCTGGCAGAGGAGCTAAGTACTGCAGCACCCTGTGAAAATCACTGGTCTAACTGTTGAAAGGGCTTGTACTTATTGGTAGCCCTAGGCCTGTAGTCATCATACAAGAAATAGGCTGGACTCCACCAGTGGCAAGGTGGTATTTTAAAGGGAGAATGCTTTACCTGGCAGGGGAAATACCATGACCACTAAGGCGGTTTTCCTAGTCTTTAGGGGTAAACGCTTTTCTGGCATGGTGTAGTATCCACAGAGGTAATGTATAGCAAACCTCCCACTTGGTGCTTGAGTGGGAAGATCTTGGCTTTATGCTCACTTTATGGAAATGGGAGACTTCTCCCTAGCTTGCTCCTGTGGCCATACAGCTTAGGGCAAGCAAAGCTCGGGGGCATCCAAATCCTAAGCCTCCAGGCTTGGGCCTGCACATAGGATGCCTGCCAAATGATTTGGAAACATCTGAAGCCCCAGGTGGGGTTGGAGGAGGTTTGCCATAGGGCCACTTATGGTTCTTGACTGACTCATGGATTTGGAATTGATTTAGATGATTTGGCTTGGAACACGAAAATTTTTCATTAAAAAACCCCAAACTTTGGCATGAAGCAGCATTGCTTTAGGGATATCACAGGATAATACATCCCCCAATATTTTATTGAATATTTCCTTCATTAGAGTCTAATCCATATTTGAACCTGGGTAAACCATCTGCCTCATCAGCCTCCTGCGGCACAAGTTAACTCTGTGAGCTCCACAAGTCAACTCTGTGCTGCAAAAATAAGAAGCATCTCTTATTTATTTTAAATCTGTCTCCTGTTAATCTCTCTGGGTGTCTCCTAATTTTAGTATTTTGACACTTGGTGAATAACAGTTCTTTATTCACTTTATGGACACCCTTCATGATCTTGTACACCAAGGCTGTCCAACTTCCAAGGGGCCAGGGGCCACATGCCCTACAGGATGCACCAGGGGAGTCACATACCCCATAGGCCACACAAGGAAAGCTACAACCCTCCTAGGCCACACACCTCATGGACATACTGCAGGCTTCAACATGCCACACCTGAAACTTGAACCAACCCCCTTCAGGTAGACAGACCCAATTATAGACCTCTATTATATCCCCTCTCAACTTTATTGTTTCCAAACTGAAGAGGCCTATCCTTTTCAGTCTCTTCTGCTACAGTAGCTGCTTCATACCCCTGATCATGCTGGTTGTCCTTCTCAGTCCTTTTTCCAATTTGACTATATCCTTTTTGGGGATATACTCCAAAACTGCACACAGCATTCAAGACGTGAATTTATTAAGTGGTGTGATGTTCTCACTTTTGTTTTCAACTCCTTAATGGGTGCATCTACTTGCAACACTACATCACTTTAGCAACGTGCTATGGCAACATAGCGACCACGTGCGTCTCCATGTGACCAGCATCTATTTCACCATAGCAGCGCGCTCCGCTATAGTGTGCCACTACAGTGAAGTAGCAGCTAAAAATAACCGTGTGCCTGGTGTATGGCACAGTACAGACTGCTACTACACTGTGCTTTAGTACTTTGAAAAAGGGGAAGGCATCTACATGTGCCCATAGAGCAACATTGCTACTACACTGTGCTTTAGTACTTCCATAAAGTACTAAAAGGAACTTGGGAAGCACTAAAAGGAACCTCTAAAAGGAAGTACTAAAGCACAGCACAGCAGCAACATCACTGTAGGGACACAGGTAGACAAGTTTCATAGATTTCATAGACATTAAGGCTGAAAGGGACCTTGGAAAATCTTCAAGTCCAGCCCCTTGCCTCAGGGGCAGGAAGTCAGCAGGGTCATAGGATCCTAGCAAGATAAACATCCAAATTTCTCTTGAAGGCATTCAAAGTAGGTGCTTGAACCACCTCTGGCAGCAGTCTATTCCAAACCTTGGGAGCTCAGACAGTAAAGAAGTTCTTCCTTATGTCCAGCCTGAAACAGTCATGGAGGAGTTTGAGACTGTTTGACCTCATCATCCCTTGGGGTGCTCTGGTGAACAGATATTCCCCCAGATCCTGGTGAGCACCCCTGATAAACTTACCGGCAGTCACCAGATCACCCCTGAGCCTGCACTTTTCCAGGCTGAAGAGTCCCATAGCTCTCAGGCTCTTGTCATAAGGTCTGTTTTCCTGACCTCTGATAGTTCAATGATAACTAACGTTTTATTTGCTTTTTAGGTTGCCACTACATTTTATAACGATGTTTTTACAGCACTATCTACAATGAGTGCAAGGTTTCTTTGCCAAATTGTAAGATGTACTTCAGATTACATACACAGTACTTGAAGTTGAGGCTACTGTTCCCCACAAGCATTACTTTGTACCTATCAACACTGAAGTTCACCTGCCACTTTTTTTACACACTCATTTTGGTTTTGTGAGCTCTTTCTGCAGCTCCTCACCATCAGCTTGGAGTTTGATTCCTCAGAAATATTTGTCTGCCTTCAATCCACTTCATGTTTGCATTAAGTCTGTCTGTACTTCTCAATGACAAAAATGTCAGAAAAGCCATTTTCAAGTCTGTAAAGCACAGCTAGAAAAATTCTGTATCTTTTGTCTCAGTGCCCCTACCTGACCATTAGATAGGAACATGCTTTTCTTAATAAATTTGCTTGACAGAGAAAAAGTCATATGTTCACATACTCAGACCTCTTTAGTATTGATGCTATAAGAGGTAAAAAACGTAGCTGCTTCACACCTTCCATATTGAGCTTACACATTTGACAGTTAAACATATTTACCCGTGACCCAAAAAAATCATTTGAATTGATAGATATGGAACATTCCACAATGCCTTTTCACCCCAGCAACTTTTCCGATTAAAAGAGATGTGCAAAAGCCAAAAGGAAACTAACCTTTTAATAACTTGTATTGATTCATAGCTCTCCTCTTGAGAAGCATGACATATTAAAAAAAAGTATACTTACAAATCAAGTAAAATTAAAATCATACACAATTGCTAATAGGTTAGCTTACAAGATACATAAGTAGCCCAAGACAGAGTTCCTGGAGTTGAACATTTACAAAAGTGTTCTTTTCCTTGAAATTCTCTCTGTCACATAAGAGAAAACAGATACTTCAGAAAGTTTTGAAATCATGACTAAGTGACCTAAACATAATGGAGTTTTTAAGATGAACTCCAAGTTTCTGGGAGAAACAGAATTTACAGACCTACCACTGGCAGACTGGGTGGGGAAGAGGGAGAGAAGCAGATTCCTTTTTTACCTGTAGCATTTGTAAATGGTGGTAATAGTTATAGGAACATATATCCCTGTACACTAAATTATCAGTGGGCAGACACACAAGAACCATTAACAGAGCCTAAGATGATCCCTGCCTGCAAGTACTGAAATCTAGAAGAGCAGTGCAATAATAAAAAATCATCATGTTTATTGTTTCAAAGTTTCATACTCAGTCTTCTGTGTACTTCTGCTGGCTGCTACCACTGTGAAGTCTTAACGTAGTCACTTTAAATCCACAATATGGGGAGCATCCATGTACAGTTTGTTAATACTTTACTTTCAACATTGATTGGAGAGCAGTAATTAAAAATCTTTATTGAACCAAATTCAAACTTGTTTTGTAGATGACTCGCTGTATTTCTGCTGTTACCTGTGACAACTTGTAAAACTAAAGGGTCAAAGTCACTCTGCCATCTATAAAATGAAAATAAATTTTTAATTCTTCCCAAGGAAGGAGATTTTGCATATATTATTGGTTGTTGCACCAGTGACTTGCAGCCTGGAGGCTTCAGTGAGAATACCAAGAAGCATTAGCCATCTTGCTGCTGAATGAAAGGGTTTGGAATAGCTTCCATTCCATCCTGTGGACAAATAAGAACTACAGATGTTCCTCTGCACACCACAAGTCCCAGCTGGCGGGTGTCCTCTGTAAGTTTATACTGGTCATCTGGATCTGGGGGGTGGGGGAGGTGGATGGAAAAAAAGAAAGAAAAGAATATAGCAGGAAGCTTAAGGTTAGTGACAGTGTAAAAGGAGAAGACAGTTCACCCACACAGCACACAACTTACATGTGCTCTCTTTGGGCATCTTTGCACTATTTAACTGAATCGTTATTTTTTATTGCTTTTTATAACCTTTGATAGCTTCAGAAGTTCTTGAAAATCAAGGATTTAAATTGTCCATATCCTGTGATAAGACAAGCTCTGCTTTGAAGCATATGTTGCCCCAGTTCTTTACACTTTTCTCCAGTCACACTGGAGAAAAACAAACAGGTGACAAAAGACAAAAAGGACTCCCATCTGAAACTCTTCCAAATATTTTGGGACCAATGCAAAAATAGTCCCAACTGGACTACTAAAAGGGAAACTCTTCCATGCATAATTGTTGTTTATTCAGTAAAAATTATACTTGCATCTCCTCCATACTTAGTTGTTATATGCTGCCAAGATAAAAACAGAAACGCCCTTTTGCAACCCTGAAAACCATTCTTTTTTGGAACCTGAAAACATTTAGCAATTACCACATTTAGTTGAATCCAACATGAAGTTTGCCACCCCGCTCAGTCAATATGGGAGGGGGCTGGAGATCCTCATAATAGATTCAAACGCTGGTCCAGGGCATGCACGAGCCCAAGCTCTGACTTTGGCTCTGGGAGAGACCAGAGCTGAACCACTGCCATACCTAGGCTGGGGTAGCTTGTGGATGTGGAAGATGGAAGTCATGGTGGGAGCACCTGGGGGAGACCACAGTCTGTCCTCCAACCCCACCCCTGCCTTTACTTTCAGTTTCAGCTCTGGCCTGACCCAGAGCTGCTGCCATTGCTTCTACTTGGCTGGGCTGGGCCCACTGCTGCAGACTGCCCTGGCCCCAAAGCAGAGCCATCACAAGAAGTAGGCGGTGGAGGGGTACAGGCAAGTGACAGGGACGTAGGCACAGCCACAGGAGGTACAAGGGGCAAGTGTCATGGGAGACAGGTACAGGGGTACAGACAGGGAGGGCAAGGGATAGGGGATCTGGCCCTTTGCTTCTCGCTTTCCCAACCACAGTGGTGGCTCTGGCAGAAGTGGGGGCACAAATTTAAGGCAACCTTCGAATAATTAGGTTCTATACATGGAAAAGTGTAAAAAATGTATATTTTTCCATTATAGACCCTAAAGGGGGGGGGGGGCATGTCTTGAATTCAAAGTCAGCTTGGATTTGGGTAAATACAGTACAGTAAAATCCCTGTTATCCAGCACAAGTGGGGAATGGGAGGTGCCAGGTATCTAAAAATGCCGGTTACCTGAGGCCAGCGATTTTCGGCCAGACATGGAGTGATGGGGTGGGGGTGGCAGCAGCTGCACGTAGAGCAGCTGCAATGCAGAGTGGTGGGTGGCAGGCAAGCTCCACCCCCACCCACCCAAATTCTGTTTAATAGTGTTTTGGTTACACAAATGTGGGATAACAGGGATTTTACTGTATTTAGGACTAAGCAAGTGTCTTTAAAAATCTGCTAATAGTAAAATTCAAACCTAAAACTGTGGTTGACAGGGCAGACATTGTCTTACAACAGATTAATTAAGTGCTCATGCACTTTTGTCCTTGCATACCCATAGAAAATAGTTTCAAGCTATTAACTTCAAGCTGTATAAGAATCAAAAAGAAAACAAAGTAAAATGTTATGGCACAACAAACCAAGTCAGAGTCAGCTGTACATTTTCATAGTTGTCAGGCTGCTTGTTTTGGCCAATTATAAAATTTTTATAGGAGTGATCCACTCATTTTCATAAAATAACCAAGAACAGTATTTTTCTAAGAAGCCTAAGGAATGAGACAATGAGCTCCTGCAGAGATCCATTTTCCATTTTGAGAGAAAAGGGTGATGTCAGATGCTGGACACAATTACTAACTAAGAGGTCACTGCTGTGTACAAGAGTACAGAGAGAAATCAACACCACCTGTATGTCCTGGAGGACAGTCAATCAAAATGACTTTTGTAGACCAGTTGTTCTCAACTGGGGTGCTGTGATACCAGCACCACTGCCACTGTGGGGTGAAAGTGTCCTGTATGCCTCAGGCTTCAGCAGGCACATTGGAGCCAAACTGGAAACAGCTGCAACAGAAGCGGTGCATCTGCCTGCATAACATAATACAGGCAGATGTATCTATCTGCCACAAGTCACTTCCCAATTTGGCTCTGCATGCACAGTTCCACTCAGCAGCAGGGGCAGTGATAGTGCCACAGCACCAATTGGTCTGCACCCTCCCCACTCAAGCCATATACAATATTTTGCCTACCCTCTGCCCCTTCAGTCCCTCAGTACTAACTCCCTGCGTGCTGCATGTGCAAACCCAGCACCTCAGTTGTTACAACACCAGAACTAGAGTTTGGGAAGAAATTGCCCTGGAGTAAGGGAAGAACTTGACTGAGTGATTCCTGATCCCCACCAGTGACCTAGAGCCATACATGGGGAGTCCACTGCTACACTGGGAGCAAATGTGTGCAGGGCCAGCCAGCAGCCAGCTAGGGGAGCACTCCCAGCCAGCAGCCTGAAGGACTGAATATAATATAATAATTACATAATCCGTTAATAACATTAATCCATCAAACACTTAGAATATTTACATTATATTTTTAGTGTATTTATATTCCTTTTTTTTTAAATGGGGTGCCACTAAATTCTGAAAAATTTTGGAGGGGTGCCTTTAGTTTAAAAATGTTGAGAACTACTACTGTAGACAATGAAACACTGATTCAGCAACAATATGCTTACCATACTTTTCTCCACAGAGTCACTTTTATTGGCCTAATACTTTTAATCTTGTTTTCCTTCTATGGATTAAACTGTCAGTCAGATCACAGGTACTAGGGTTCTCTACCTTTCAGATACGTTTTATGGTTAAACGGTTTGAAGGTGCTTTCAGATTTCACCATAAAGCAATCCTTATAAGAAAGGAAGCTTCCACAGTTAAAGGTTTCAAATAGCATATTACATACCTCTCATATATTCAATAGTACCATCAAGTACAAGATTTAGAAGAGGGTCAAATCCTTTCAAGACTCCACTAGCTATTAAAGACAAAAAGAAAAGACCCAAAGCATACAGTTAGAGACCATAATATATAAATACAGAAAAATACTTAAGGAAGAAATCTGTCAAAGTCAAGATGCAAGGAAAAATAACATATTCAGTTTGAAGCTCACCTTCCCTACCACCTTGAAACTTTACTCGAATTGTTTTGTCTATGTACTTTGAGAGATCCAAGATACTTTCTTTCTTCTTCTTCTCTTTATCCTGGAAAAAAAGAAAAAGAACTAACAGGAAGTAAAAGTAAAGCAAGGTCATCATTTGACTATGCCGATATACTGCATAGAAGAATAAAATCCTGTAACACAAGTTATTACTATTAACAAATACCAAAAAAGTGTCTGTATACATGTATTTTTCAATGTGGACTGCCAATATCCCAAATACAGGTTAATCTAAGCCTAAAATTCCTCTTACACAACAAATCCTTGTTCAATTTGGAATACTGCATAAGTTTTATGTGACAACAGGTATACTTGAACTAAAACAACTACAGCCTACTTTATTAGGTGGGTCCTTCAAATCCAAGTCAAGTTATTCAAGACTTGCCCTCACTCAGATGTGTAACATATGCCCTAACCTAATCATTGATCCATCCTAACAAAGCACACTACAAGCCCTTGAGATTTCATTTTCAACAACAGCATTACCGACTTACAAATCATGCACAATCTTTCACTTTCTCCATATAGATAACGTAGCATAAGGGGGTAGGCAATTATTTGGGCCCACAGGCCACACAGGGAGTTTTGCTGAGGTGCCACGGGCCAGGTCAACACCCCACCTCTTCCTGACTCACCAAAACTCCCTATGTGGGATGGGGTTGTGACCAGACTGGGAGTGGTGCGCAGGAGGGGTGGGTGAGGCTGGGATCATGGGGTGGGGTTGATCTGCTGCCCACAAGTCCCTGTGATGGGAGCAGGTTCCATGGGCAGGGGCATGCAGAGAACAGATTGTGGGTCTGCCCTGGCCCAGTCCTGTGCTACTACTACCCCAAGATCCTGGGATTTCCATGGAAACCAGCCAGGGACCACGCAGGCAGGGCACTCCAATCAAATCTGCCCAGTGGATTGCCCTGCCCACAGTTTCCAGATGGTCTCCATGGAGCCCCTGGGATCTTGGGGAGGTGACAGCACAAGGCCAGGGCAGAGCCCCAATTCTGTAAGAAAGGTTGTGCACTGACTGCATCGCAGCTCTGCCCCAGTCCTGCACTGTCACCAGCTACCCCAAGATGCTGGGGTCTCCCTGGCCCTGCTCGCCTGTTCTGCTCCCAAACAGTGCTCCCCACTGACCCATGGCCCCATCCCAGTCAAGTGCACTGCTGGTATGGGTCCCACCAATGGTGATGGGTGTGGGGTGGATGGGCCCAGCAGCAGTGGCAGCTGGAAGGAGCCGCTGTTGCTTCCAGGGCTGCCAAGAAATGGGGTCCAGGAGCTGCCCTACCCCAGCCCCACTGTGTCCAGGTACACACAACAGCCCAGGCACTTGCCATGGGCCAGGCAAATATCACTCTGTGGGCCATACATGGCCCTACAGCAGGGGCAGGCAACTATTTCGGGCGGAGGGCCACTTACCCAGTTTTGGTAGGCTGTCGAGGGCTGCATGGGTAGCCCCACCCCTTAACGGGTGCCCCGCCCCCTGGTCACCATCTTGGAACCAATGTCCCAGCGTCTTGGGACCAATGTCCCAGGGCCAGCACTGGTAGGGCCCAAAGCAGAGCACAGGCTGGCAGGGGCTTGTGGAGCCGAGTTGGGCTGCACCAGCAAGGAGAGGGGGGAGCTGGCCCGGCTCCATAGAGCCCTGCCAGCTGCAGCCCCCGCGCTCCTGCCGCCCTGCTCTGGGCCCCGGGACACCAGTGGCGGCCCCCGTGCCCCCCCTGGCTCCCCGCCCACTCACTCCCAGTGCCCCCAGCCCCACGGTACAGGTGGGGGACAGCACATAGCCCCGACCCCCAGGAGCTGGTGCTGAGTGCGGGGAAAAGTGGCCCCTCACCCGCCCCATGGCCAGCGTTCCCTGCTGCAGGCGCTCACAGCCCACGCGGGGCCCAGGCTGGCAGCGGGGCCGGGTTACATGGTGGTGCTGAGCCATGGGGGGGAAGGGAAAAGCAGCCCCTTGACTGCTCCATGGCCGGCACCCTGCACTGCAGCTGCTCGCAGGCCACACGGGGCTGCCACGGCCCGC